GCTAAGCAAAGGGGGCACCTGGCTTCTCAGGGGATATACGTTGTTCGAACACATGGTGCACCTCGGCTACGTCACGTCCTATTAGAAACACTATATCACAGTCCTCACGCAACGTGGGAATGGGAATATCCGAGAGGTGTTGGTGGTATTTTACTATATCCGGTGTAGGGATTTCAAACGCGAGTCCGGAATGCTATCACACTCTAGTATGGTTGGGAGTTTTGTACAAAATTGTCCTTCTATAGATAAAACCGTCATATTGTCAATAGTTCTGCCATTACACACAGAGGATCCTGAACATGAGTTAAGTTCATAATTTTCATTACTTACTGGTATATTGCTAAACAAAAAAAATATTTTCGACTTGCACAATGTGCTATTGCTTTGATCATCAACAATACAGAACACCGACCTTGATAACTTGATGGCGTTGACTGCCACACTCGCCACATGGTCCTGTGAAAGTGCATGATTTAAATGTTTGTTGGAGTTACAACAATTAAAACAAATATTATTGTCTCTTAGAATCTTTTACGTTCTGAGACAGACTTTTGCAAAAATGTCATACAATTGTTAACAGTGTGTGATTTTGCATTATTATGTACTGGACAAAAGTTTGGCATGAGCTCTACACATTGTACATGAGAGGAGTCAGTTACACTTTTCCTGACATTAACAGTTTGGTTTTGACTACGAACACTAAATGTTTGATTTTTAACAACGAGCACTAGGTTTTCACTAGATTAGATTAGATTTAACGTAGGACACGTAGGACACAGATAACCCCGGGTCATTAAACATTGTACTAATCTTATCAAGGAAGCTATAAATACGCTGAATGGTGGATATAAAACTTGGTAAGCTCTTTTGTAATTTGTGGCTCTATACATCCATTTGTTCTTACTATGGAATGGCAATTTTTCAAGGATAGATCTGACTCCAGTTGACGACTCAAACAGATGTGTATAACGCTCATCGTTTTTGTAGATTCGTTTTCTCGATACAAATCAGCGAGTCCGTATAATTCACTATTATCTTTAATGCGCGGAAAACTTTAATGGTTTCTCTATAAGTTCTGGAGCTCCAAATCTTTCGAATAACCGTTTCCATAATAACTGCAGGGCTTTAGATTTGTTGCTCGGGTTCGACTGTGCGATGTTTTGTGCCTGTTCTTTCGATCTAGGACCAAGATATCTTAACAATAGATCTAACTCTTCGATCGGTGATGCATTCAATTCATTCATAATGTTCTTGAAATTTGCTTTCCAGAGTTGAAATTGTTCTGGTTTATCATTATAAGTATTAAGTCGTTGAAACATCAAGTCCTTTTTCAACAGGAACACAGACACATCTGATAACTTTGTTTAAGTTTCTGGTGCAAACGGTTTGGCCAAGACATCTCATCAAACATTGGCTCACGTAGTAGAATAGCTGGTTTTGGTGTCATTAAATCAATTCTCCATGGTAAACCCGACACATCACTAAGTCTACAGTGATTTGTTTTTCCAAATATCTCTGATTTCACACTTGATTCGGAAAGCGAGTTTTCACTTAGATGTTCCTCGAGAGTTTCTGATTTTGTCAATTCTATAACTACTTCTTTCTCATTGTTCAAGGAAGATAATTTTGAGACTAGTGAAGCCATTTTTTCCTTAAGGCAGATTCTTTCTTCTCGAATTCCAGTATTGTTTTCCCGCTTCGAGCTTCGCCTTTTGTTCTTCAATTTAGATATTACTTTTCTGAGATTTTACACTGGATGATTTGGTTGAAGTTCTAGATGGCACTGTACTTGGGATGTGAACTGATACATTCTTTACATGCATTTCTATTTCTGTCAAAATCATCACGACTTTTTCAGCAGTAGTTCTGTCATAATAATTGTTCAATTTGTTGCGCATTTCAACAGAATCATTTTTTAGTCAGTTCTTTTGTATTCTTATACAGCAGTATTATCTTTTCTATTTCTCTTCTATAACTCATTAGTTTCTTTCTATATTTTTCTACATTTTCTTCATACAGTTTTTCTGACTTTTCTGTAAGTCTTTTCACTCTCTTCTCTTCAGTTTCTGTGTCAGTTGTCTGCACCGTGTTCGAGTCTGCCATGGCTGTGTTTGGTTGATTTACTATGAAAGTCCTGGGGTGGATTTCTCGAAAGCCTCGTATCCCTTACGACGTTTGTAACACTGACGTAAGGTCATCGTTGCATTTTTTCTGGTTGTCTCGGAGAGTTCGTAATTTACGATGTATCTTAAACATCTCGTAAAGTTACGGTTAAAAAATTGACCCCATAGCAGCGTCGTTAGTCTACGATAACGAATATAATTGGATTCCATTTTGTCAATTTAGCCTCATTTTCATTTTAAGAGAAAAAGAAAATCCATATCAAATGCATATCGTACTCAATCAAGCCTCTTTTTCGTTTTTACAGTCCAAAGAGTCTGTATCAAATGCATATTGAACTCAAGATAGCCTTATTTTTATTTTGCAAGTCCAAACAATACATTTCAAATTCATATTGTACGCAAATAAACACAGTTATGTCAAAACATTGATGGTGTGAAATGAAGATGTCATTGAAAATACTCTTGTTTTATTGCACTTATATTTGACGAGGCGCTAGAATTCAGTATTTAACACAACGTATAATAACCTCATATTATCAGTAAAATAAAATCCATATCATGCACAGTATAACACTCACACTGGGACTAGATTGTACTGATAAGGGGAGATCATTGCGTAGGAGATTGCTGAACTTGATTTGGCGAACAATTTAATTTTCGCGAATTTCCATAATAAGTGATTGTAGTGTTGTGTTCTAAATGGCTTATTTCTCGATTCAAATGTCATTAATTTTTTGTTTAATAAAAGTTAAAAATTACGCCGCGATTGTGACTATAAATTTTAAATAACGTTTCTTTACGGAGCGTCCACGCAGCAAGTGAACGTCTGACGTTTTCTTTGAACGTGAGTCTCTTTCTGCGCGTCATTGGCTGTATAGTTAGTTTCGTGAATATGGACGTGAAAAAACATTTCAATTTCATTGGGATATATATATAGCATATTCGCTCAAAATTAACAAATATGCTGCATTTATTATGTTCTTATAAATGAAATGAAATATTGATGCAATAAACTGGTATTTTCATTTTCCGTATTTTCACTGTAAAAAAATTATTTTTCACTACAGTGAAACATATTTTCTGTATTTTCACTGGTGTATTGCCGGACTACTTTTTCTAAATTCAGCCAATAAACAAAATTTAACAGTAAATATTTCAAATTGTAATATCAAAAAGAAAAATGTATTTAATAAACAGAAAATTCAAGATTTTTTCAATTAAATACAGGATTTATTTGCATCTTGTGGTATGAAAATTTTCATATTTCACTCGTGGCTACTGCCACTCATGAAATATTTATTTCCATACCACTCGATGAAAATAAATCCTGTATTTATAGAAAAAAAAACTTGAATATCCTCTATCTATTTAATGCTAACTAGTGAAAACTGAGTTATATTAGTGAAATATAATCCATATCACCCACAGACCATCACTCACACTATGACTGAAGTAGCTTTGCCGAACCTTTGGCAAACCTTTTAATTTTCTAATTCAGTAAAGTTGTTAGTTTACATACTAAGTAATTGGTGCTTTTGGTTTGCATATTTCTCGCTTCAAATATCAACTAAAAATTACACCGCAATGATGACAATAAACTTGAATTACTTTTTTTCGCAGCCGTTGAACGTCTGACGTCGTCTTTTTTTATGTGCGTATGTTACCCCCGCGTCACTCCACTTCTTTCTTACTTCTGTGCAGCTTCTTAACAGAATTCACTTTTGCTATTATCTGGACCCATTTTTAGTTTGTTTTCTTTTTAATTGTGATTATTTCAGAAAAATTGCTGACATCCATTTTCCTCTCTTGCAAGTACCTGAAGTTCATTTGTAGAAAAAATTGTTCTCAATTTTCTTGACTCAGACATTTTTTGAAACTTATTTCAACTACGATATAAATTACTGCAAAAATATGTATGCATCAATGTCAAAACCAGGCTTTGCTTTTATTGTTTCTACTCAAAATGTTTGAAATATGTATAAAAATGTTACCCTACCCCACACATTTTAAATATTTGTTTGACCATTTTCCTACTTGGAATGCCGTGTTCAAAATATCCTTAAAATTTACCAAAATGAGGGCCTGTTTACAAAGATTGCCTAAATTTTCTAAAAAGTACATGTAAATTGGTTGGTCTTGTCAAATATAAAATACTTTTACCGTCTACTGTTTGATTTATTAGACTTTGAAAATATCAGGTATTTGATATTAAATTTGGCATAACTTAGCCAATAAATACCGATAATAATTTTATAATTAAGATAAAACACTTTTTTCTTACCAATATTGATACGAGAGACATAAAAATAATATTTTAAGAAAAAAAAATCCTCATCTCGGGCTTGAACCAACGTCCCTCGGTTTCTTTACAGTAGACCGTAGTTCTAGCCTCTTCAAAGTCGAGTTAATGCATTAGGTGGGTCATGCGTTAACTACACAATGTCACCTTTGCATATACGATGTCGTAAATAACGTTTGAGAAACGAGATCGTTAAGGTGTCCTTCCAGGCAATGAAATAAGGACATTTTAGTTATACCTTAGCAATCTCGTAAGTTTAGTCACAACTTTAAGAATTTTTCGAGACAACCACCCCAGGACTTTATAAACAAAGACGCTGATAAGTTCTTAACTTTACTGTTCCTTGTATATAGTCAATCATTAAATCACTGAAAAATACAAATGAAAATATACCATAAGTATTATGCACCTTAACATACTATTATCTGCACAAAATTACAGCAATCAGTTTCACACTATAGTTTCAATATTACACAGTCTTACTGAATGATAAAACAAGAATGATAAAAAAAGTCATAGGTGTACAACGGAGACGGCCTATTGGATTTTCGACCCATATATCCTATATCCATCACATTTAAGGCTAAATTCTAGACAAAGCAAATCCGGTACCGAAACTTCATGACCATTTCTTTAAACACCAATGCAGTCCAAGTAAATTTAGCACAAAAAATAATACATTAGCCCTTGGAGTTTTTCTGCAGCTTTTAATTTCTGTAATCACTATAGAATATTCCAAATAGTAACTGGTGTGTATTCTTGTGCATAGTGCCTCATGAAACCTTCCACCCAGAAATGAAAACCTGCAAAAATACATAAAAAACAACGGTTACCTTTAAAGTACTCAGAAATGAAACTTTTAGTACATAATTACTAAAGATATACTTAAAATATAACCAGTATCAATTAAGATGACTTGAAATAGGCCGTTTCAAAATTTAAAAGAACTACTTTCTAGGCTACAACGGGCTGGGTCTAATTCCGTACCGGGGTGACACCTTAATGAACATAAAATTTCAGTAAAAAAGAACATTTACACACATTTTTTTGTAATTTTATGTTGAACAATTAATATAATCAAGAAATCAATGTCTCTTACATTTCACATTGATACAGGAGCATTTCTTAAAGGGTGACCACTTTGCGGAAAATCAGGCTCGGCCAACAGAATTTTAGATAAAAAATGGCATTACAAATTATAACATATCTTCAGAAATAGAAGACAGATTTTCATGAAATAAAGTTTTTTGTTGTTGGCAAATATTGTACAGGTTTTCTATGCATGAATTATACCTTGTTTGTATAAAATGGTAAAATTTATCCATTTTTTCTTTATAAAAAGCTTAAAATTTCAGTTTGAAATAGTGAAAAATGGGCATAAAGTTTGCCATTATAATGATTTTTTCCCTAAAAATTGCTATAAAACTTCCTGATTAAGACTTTTACTTAAATTTATTAGTAAACAAAGCAAAGTATATACATACACAGACAACACTCTTTGTTAATACCATCTATAAACATGTAAAGATAACAATCTCTATTACCATAGTACTATATATGGCCTTTTGTAAGTAAATTCTCACTCAGATAAGGCCTTTAAAATTGTTATAGAACAAGGCAATCAATTCAAATAATTGAATAGAAAGTATTAAATCAATTTACTCTTCAAGCCCATCATACTCTTAAAAATATTATTTTACAATGGGAAAGAGACGCCTTAACAGTGGAACTTTCAAGAAAGGACACAAGATTTTACCTCCTCACTTGAACGCTGCGGAACAAACCAACAGTAGTTCTTGCTTACATCTCAGCCAAAATCAGGCACAAAATTCCTCAAAACCAGTGCTTCGCTCATAGAAAAGTCTGCAAAAGAAAGATAACAGTGAACCACAAGGGAATAGAGTGATCAATTTAGATAAGCAAATTGCCATGATGAACAAAGTTTATGAAGAGTACAGTGCTCAAAAATGTGATAAATAAAACATCAAATTACACTGTGAACAAAAACTTGGACTGGGTTCTAGGCTGCAATTTAAGTGCTTATCCTGCCAATTTGTATCTAGCAAAATTGAGACATTCAATAAGTGCCCGGGTAGTCAAGCAGCTGCAATCAACATGTTAGTGGCGTCCGCACTGCATGACACAACTATTGGAATGGAAAAGGTTAACCTGCTGTTCACTTCAATGGATATTCCTGCACCTAGTAGAAGTTATATGCAAAATTTAACAAACACAGCAAGCCTTAACACTGTACAATTAAATAATGCAGCTATGACTGAGAAAAGGAAGCTTGTTGTTCAGCACAATAAGAGTCTTCACAAACCAAATCCGAACCATCTCGACTTATCGTTTGATGGCCGCTATAATGCAGCCAGAATGGTTTCTTCATACAAACATGGCCAGACAGCTTCTAAGGCTTATGGTGTTGTCATTGAAAACCATACAAGCTATAACTACATGATTGGGTTAGCAGTACAAAACAAACTTTGCTGGACTGGAGCATACATGCGGAACAAGGGCTTTGAAGTCAATTGTCCAGGCCATTTTGATTGTACTGCAACAATGCAGTATATGCAGCTTCATTCTGAAAGAAAGATGGCTTATGACATTGCTGAGCAGTTTTCGAAAGAAGATATTCTGGTTCGCACACTGACCACTGATGGAGACACGAAAGCTCATCTCGGGATGACTGATTTTTATGACAAGCATGGAAATGCGTGGAAAGTAGCTCGTCAAGCTGACCCCTATCATTTAGGCAGTCGCCAAGTAAGAAAGGCAAGAGCTTCAAATTGAAGCCCAACAATGTTTGAAGGAAAAACCCTATCTGGCAGTGCAAGACAACAAGCTATTAGAGCTTTTGCTAAGGATATTAAGGCTAGATGCAGTGCTATTATAGAAAAACTTCGCCTAAAAACAAATGGTCTCGAAGGAAATTTACATACCTTACCAACAATCCGTATAGCTACGCTAGAGTGTTATGCTGGTAGCTGTAAGTTCTGTCCAGAGGAATCCTTAGTTTGTTCCGGTGTAGGAAATGTTACTGATTGGTGGTAAAACTCTTCCTATCTACCCACACATGGTATTCATCACCTAGAATTGACAAGAAATGACCGTGAGCTATTATCCGCTATTCTGGAAATACGCCTAAGTGAGTACGCCATCAAAAGTGTGACAAGCAACACTTCAACACAGAAGTGCGAAAGTTTTAACAGATCTGTGTTATCCACCCTGCCTAAAGAAATCAACTTTTCGAGGAATTTTGCGGGCAGCTTTGCTTCAAAAACTCTGCAGATAAACAATTCACTGCAAGTTTCTGTTGAGGAAAAGGTCCGAAGTATAACAGGACACTCCCTATCACCATGACCACTTCGATATCTAAAATCAGCATCAAGAAGGCATAAGCATTACCAAAAAAAACAAGACAATTTAAGATGAACAGAAAAGAAACACGGGCCAAACTAGAACACATGTACCACCTTGCGAGAAGTGAAGGCCAGTACAATGACGAGTACCAGAAAGGACAACTTGATGCAGCAGGCCCTTCAAAGTAGTGCTACCAGGAATTGGCTGTGCATTGTTATTTCAACTGAGTTATGGTGAAAATAAGCCCCGTCGCATTCATGGCAGAATGACTGATGATGACCTGATTGCCGGTCGAAACGGGAGAGCATATTTTGCCATTTGTAAACATGACAACTGCAAAGAAAAAACTCACTATAGACTAGTGCAATTTCTTATTTGCCATTTGCACTCCCCAACAGGATTATGCTATATCTATGGGCCAATGTATTACACTTATACACAACATGCACATTGAAATAAAATTCAAAGCTGCATATACATATACTAATTACAATATCCCTGACTGTCAAATAAATATTATGAATTTATGTCAATTTCAGTTCTATTTATCTATTTCAATATGATTATCATATGGAATTAGTCTATAAAAGCTTTGATAATGACAATATAGTACTGTTTCTATAACTGCCAGCAGATGAATGACATATGACCACAGTTTTTTCTACTTTATTTTCTATATATATACTGACCCGAAATGAAATTGCAATTTTCTAGAAGTTCGAAACAAACACCATTCACTTAATTTTGTTGACAATTCAAAAACTTCACCTAAATGATATGCGCATGAAAATATGCTGTCAAGTTGGCTGCAAACAGGCAGTACACCCATGTCAATAATGTTCATTTTGCTTACTATAACATATGAAATTATTTCAAATTTCAATCTGTCAATAATTTTAATCCCCTTTCTTAAATTATGACTTTTTTGCTTAGTCTTTCATTCAATACTTCATAAATATTCAGTATCAAACATAGGCACTACTTCTTGTGTAACCACTTCCGTATTATGGAGTGAAGCAAATGGTGGCTTATGGCAAGGGGAGACAACATCAATAGAAAGTGGCAGATTTTAAATGTCAAAATTTAATTTTTAAATAAAATTTGAAATATACAAACCTGACTGTCATCCTTTTAAAGGAATAGGAATGGATGGATTGATGTCTGTCTAATATAAATATTCATCATTTAAAAAGAGGTAACATGACAGTTTTTCTGTTGACATCAACCCTATAAGTGAGAAATTCGTGTTTTAAGACACTATTTTTTATTTAATAAATAAGTTCATGGGCGCCGCCATTTTGGCGTTCTGTCATTCTCGCGAGACAGACGAGACCGAGATTGTGACGTGTTACACCGACTTCCGGTATAGGTGTACACGCTGGTACAACTGAAATATATCTTGATGAAGAACTTATTAATCTTATTGCGTACATTATATATTATTTATGAAAACATCATATGGAACTGAATTGCTTTAATTAATTAATTGAAGACGCCGCGACATTAATTATCATTTGTCCGATTTTCAAGCTTGCTGATGATCCCATCACATGATTTAAGCAAAGATAAACCATCAATTTAATTTGGGTACTATGAGACACTTCTTCAAATTGACGATATATCCTTTTATTTTGTACTTAACTTTCGCTAGACAAGCTGTCCGAATAGGGCACATCGCCGGTCATGTATATTTTTTTAAGTGTAAAATATCAACTAAATCCAATATGCAGAGATCTGCTGAGGACGCGATTTTCCGCCATTGACGCTAAAAATGAGAATGGCGCAGGAAAATCGGCAGCCAGATTAATATCGTATGAAAACAAAACTGTCCGTTAGGTTATTTAGGCACCCAGTCAAAACTGGTACCAACAACAGCAACAGGTTGCCCATTCCCCTGTAATTACGCATATTGTTCCCTATAGCTTTTTCCCACGTTATCTACTTACCCAATCCCTTTCCCACACAGATACGCATTTCTACTACCGTAAATTTAATCCAATAAAACAAAAAATCATAATTCTACTGAATATTTAAAATCATTATTGGTAACTGAAAAAAAATGTGTTGCTATTTTATGAAATGCTGTAATTTACAGTATAACTTGACAGGTGCGGAACTTAATTTCCCCTAAGGTCATTCAGTTCACTGATGAAGCGTAAAAAAATGATGTCTATTTCGTCATTAGAATATTTGACAAGGGTGATTAACCAATCAGGGCAACATTGTGCATGATCAAAAGGTCTGTCGCACAGAGGCATACAAGGAGCAATAAAAATCGTCAGTACACAGTGTGACAGGAACATTTGGTGCAAATTAGGAACAATTAAAATGGATAATGCACATTATTAGACATAAGTAGTAAGAACCAGCAGTTGTGTGAATAAATTATGCAAATTAGATTTTTTGGGCAGCCAATTAAAATGTTTTGCCTGCAGTTAATATTAGGCTACGATTACAAAGTAAATAAATACCACGCAGCATCATACGTTGACAGACATGTTAACAATTTACTTTTCAAAATAGTTGCTTATAGTTTTGAAATGTGTACATCAATTATAACATATGTTCACACCTTTTAATTTGAAAGTCAGAATCAAACTGCAAAAATTTAATTACATGTACTATTAAGAACACGTTTTAGTAGGATTTTTATAATAATAATAATTATCGCCGTTCAATAATTAACAGCCAATTATTCGTTGGTGCGTTTGTTTATTTAATTGCATTATTTGATTGTTTTTTTTTGTTTGTTTGTTTTGTTTCATTTTACGCCCTTTTTCAACAGTATTTCAGTCATATAGGCGGGTAGTTTCCTAACCATCGTTCCTGGAGAGTTACACCAGTACTAGACTACCTTCCCCCGCGCTAAACTACCAAAGCATCTCCCGGGGATCGAACCCACGCCAGAGAGGTAACTGGATTAGAAGTCATCGACTCTAACCCCTCGACCACGGAGGCGGTCTTATTTGATTGTGAAACTTTGTTAAATAATAACATGTGTATTTATCAAATATGTGAAATATTGTTTAATTACATTAAGATGAGACTTTAATGAACATAGCATTGTTTGGAGTAACGGGCATCACGATTTATCATAAACCTAAAGATGTCGGGAAATGACATCACGCGCACCTGTTTTTATACGGCCAATACACAAACATGGACGCGCCTACTGATTTGTAGAAATCGGTGATTTAGCGATTTAAATTTTGTTATCATTCGTTTAATATTATTATTTGGCGGCAGAAAATTTGTAGATTTATTATTTATAGTATTCTTTTTCTGAAATCAAGTTTTTATTCTTACCTTGTCTTCTCCTTTAAATTCAGATTGCTAGTCACAAGCATTACCAGTAGGTGAAGTTTCATCACTTTAATCCAAGTAGTTCCTTAAAAATCCCATTTTAACCTATTTCATTTAGGAGACGGCCTACTGAATTTTTGACCCATATATTCTATAGTAAATCCATCACATTTAAGGCTAAATTCTGGGCAATGCAAATCCGGTACCGAAACTTCATGACCAATTCTTTAAACACCAATGCAGTCCAAGTAAATTAGCACAAAAAAAAATGCATTTGCCCTTGGAGTTTTTCTGCAGCTTTTAATTTCTGTAATCACTATAGAATATTCCAAATAGTAACTGGTGTGTATTCTTGTGCATAGTGCCTCATGAAACCTTCCACCAAGAAATGAAATAGATAAATACAGAGTCCCTAAAGAAAGCCCAACACGGCAAAATTGAAAATGTTGCAGGCTCGGTTTGATTGAGCCTGTTCATGGACGGTACTGGAAAGTGCAAGTTACCGTCCACGCCCCCTAGCACCGGCTTAAGCAGAATTCAACATTTAAACGTGAAATAGTAAAATTTTGGATTTAGAAACATCCGCAGATGTGCAAAACCTGCAAAAATACATCAAGATGACTTGAAATAGGCCATTTCAAATTTAAAAGAACTACTTTCTAGACTACAACGGGCTGGGTCTAATTCCGTACCGGGGTGACACCACAACCTAAAATTTAGTGAAATCTGACCTAAACCTTCCACCGGACGATTCTATACCGTATACTGGCTTTTATTCAAGCATTAGAAAATTTGACCGTAGCTTCAGTTATACAAGCTAAATTAAGATCTATCAAAAGAATTTACATGTATGCAATTATCATAAAATATAGAAGTAAAAAATCAGGTCAAACTTACACCAAGGGGCCATAACCCAGATAGCATTCTATATGGGACCCATGTGGGGCCCATATGGGCACCTATATGGGTCCCATTTGGGCTGCCCATATGGGCCCCATATAGGAAGTGCAACCGGGTTCCAAATGGGTCCCATCTGGGCAGCCCTTATACTCAATATGGGATTCACATGGGCCCCATCTGGGCAGCCCATGTACACAATATGGGCCCCATATGGGCAGCCCTTGTACTAAATATGGGTTTCAAATGGGCAGCCCAGATACTTCCATTATGGGTAGATTTTGAATTCCGGGGTAGATCTATTTTCAATTACTTCAATTATAAGTTTGCTGAACGTTTAGATAGCAACCGCTTGCTACAGAGCATGATTCTTGTACTTGCGTTAAATATTCAAGTGATGTTTTAACTCATTCTGTTTCCTGGAACAGACAGATTATGGCACAAAGCCTTTATGATCATGCAAGAAAACAATACACAATGTATATGCTTTAACAATGTAACTTTATTTAGTAATCTCACTTATGGTAAGTGTATATCATATATATACAGATTCTCAATACATTCTGTGGACGCCTGATGTCAACAAAGAAACCTTTACTTATGTAAATAAACTTAGAAAAGTGTACAATATAAAAAACCGTGTAAACTGTACATATTTCTAAATCCACAGAATTCATTTTGACTACATAGTT